CAAACCATGGATGAGAAAATTTGGGAAAGTCATGAACAGGATCTAGTGCCCATTTGGACAGAATTTCACAAAGCTTAGCATAGCAGAAAGGGGCCCTTGTCCTCCTCTCCCACTAGCTTGCATTGTGACCTCAAGCCCACTCCTCCACGGCCCCGATTTCCCATGTGTGAAATGCCAGCTCAGTCATTCTGGAGCATGCAGAGCCATCCTTCCTTCCCCCTGACTGTGTCCCCTGTTCTTTGTGTGTGCAGGGAGCATGGGCGACCATAGGAGAGGCAGACTCACCAGGGGAGAGTCACAGAAGGGTAATGAATAACCAAGGTCACAGGAAACTTCCTCCTGCTGGCACTGTTACAGTCCAGGTTCTATATAGCCATCGAGGACTTCCATCCAGTACTGACCAGCTGTAAATATTTAACACATCCCGGGGTGGAAAGAATGGCCACCAATCACCAGCAGTCCTCAGCAATGACTCTGAAGGAAGCCAAGGGCGAAATCTCACTGGTGTCAACCTTCTCGGTTGGCATCCATAATGACCAAGAAATGCCTGAAGCCCCTGCTGACTGTATGTCTAAAGGTGACCCTCGATTTATTTATGAGGCAGTGGAGTCCTTTAACTTTTGAACTTTTTGATGGGTTGAGCCTGCCAGAATATGATTCCAGAAGCATTTTGAGTAAGTAATTATTTTTCCAACAGGACCAATGTCACTGACTAACGATTATTGTGTGCTTGCTGGGCTAGGCATGCATTTTTATATGACTCGCTCCTTCACCTTCACAGTGAGCCTGTGAGGTGGGTCCTAATTTATAGATGAGGAAACTGAAATTCACAGAGACTAAGTAGTTTGCCCTAGGTCACCCAGCTAGGAAGTGACCAAGCTGTATTAACTCAGAAACTAGAATTCAAGCTTTTGGCCACTTCACTTTTCAATGTCTCTTCATGAAAACACTGAATTGTCTTATCTAGTGGTAGGGTGATCAGGGAGTTTATAATCCAGACTAGTCCACTCTCAGGAGTAAAGGGGGAACCATGAAATATCACCCCAACATAGTAGGAGTACCCCAGCAATCTGGATTGCCCCGGCAAACAGAGACATCTAGTCACCCTAGGACTTGGAGCAGTAGAATAAAAGCTGGAGTCAATTTATTCTGACCTTTACCCTCTTTCTTATTTCCCACCTGGGATTAGTCTCAGGCCACCAAAGCCTGTTGCTTACTGAAACCACAGGAACTGACCTTAACGTGAACTCCTACTGTAAACTGTAAAATGTAAAATGCTATACACATTTGATTAATGCATGCAAATTACATTTATCAACCCTGATAATATGTGGGGGATGATGAAGACACTTTGCCCGAGTTATATCATTTAAGCCCCATAGCAGCCCTGCTGCCACGTCTCATTGCCAATATTTGACAGATAAAGAAATAGAGACTAGGGCAGGTTAAAGGGGATAAAAGGCAATGGCAGCAGTCTGAGGTACTGTCTCCTGTGTAGCATGTGGTTTATGCTGTCCTGTTGAGCTCACTCTTATTGTTGGAAGGGACTACTGTGCTTGACATCAAGCAGAGTCATTGGGGGAGAGATGGTGGCCCTCCCTCCCTGCCCCAGCCTGGGCTGTTTCCCAGAGTTTGGCTTCTCTGATGGGACGGTGGTGCTTGCGTTGGATGATGAGCTTGTCCCAACCAGTGTGCTGATGCTCACTTGCCTTTCTTGGGTAACTGTGAGCTGGAAGGCTGAATGATGGCTGCCAGTGCCTAGAACACCATGACATTGGCTGGGAGGATTTTGGGAAAAGGCAAGAAGCTACTGTGTCCTTCAAGCACATGTGGGAGACAGTGACCCTGGATTCCATCTTCACTCCATCTGATTATCCGGTTCGCTCCATCTGAGTGGAGGGAACTGGCCATGGTTCTGGCCCCACCACAGCCAGACCCATGGGTTCTCACAGATCATGTTTCCTCCATTGGTCTCAGGAACGTGGTGGCTACCTTTACACAACATTTGCGCAAGACCTATAATAAATTCATAGCCTTTGACTCCATTACTTGTTTTCTGAGAATTTACCCCAAGTGGATAATCCTGACTGTGGAAGTGGTTTTCTGCACAAAGAGGGGAGGAAGCCAATGGAGTCCAGGAGAGCAGGGGATCCAGTGATCGGAGTGGGAGGGTCCTGCTACAGTGGAGGGAGAGGGCCCTGGGGTCAGCCAGATGTGGGTTGTCATGTTTGACATCTGTGAGGTCTCACTGAGACTATTACTTTTTACCTAAAATAGAGATGATGATGGTTTTTTTCTGGTGTCATTGAGAGGATAAATGGAACTATTGATTGATTAATATCTATCTTTACTTCACAAAGTATTTGAGGTATTCTGTTAGGATTTATATAGTAAAAAAGAAAAGGAAAACAAAGAAAAAATTGAGTTCTCTGTATATGACATCATGTCATCTGCAAATAGTGGAAGATTTACTTGTGTGGGGGCTGGGTAAGATAGGTGAAGGGGATTAAGGGTATCCTGATTGAAGTGAACACTGGTGTTGTATAAAAATTTTGAATAGCTGTATTGTACACCCAAAACTAACATAACTGTATGTAAATTACACTTCAGTAAAAACAAGCGAGATAAGTTTGAAAAACAGAAAATATATAAATTTGCAAACCTAGGAATCACAAGCAATCATTAGTGGGCCAAGAAGTAAGTTATTTGCCTCCTGCTGGCCAAGGCAAGTGAAAAAGGATCTCAATGACATGGCTCTCTTATCCATAATTTTAAAGGGGACATAACACACAAGCATATGCCTAGCACAGAAATGGTGCCCTTTACTGATAATTTCTCTTCCCTTTTCCCTATCTGGCTTCCATCCTATAAACACCTTGTGGCCTATGGCCTATATCATAGACTAAGGTTCTGTGTCTCAGAGCTGGCGTGGACATGCAGGGGGTCAAGGGAGACTTGGGAGGATTTCCATGGTCTGTGTTCTTCCATGAGCTTACCTGGGAAACCTAATATAGGAGCTAGCCTCACCTCCCTCTAACAGGGTGGTAGGAATGCTGTGATGTTTTTATTTTTGCCAGTTGAGCTCCCATTGATGGAGCCCTCACCCTGTGTCCTGCTCTAAGCTAAACAAGCTTCAGTGCTCTCCTTGTTACTTATACCAATCCTTTGAAAGAGGAACTTTTGCCATTCCCGTCATGTAACTGGAAAATGGAGATCTGAAGAGAATAAATAGCACATTTAAAGTCACATGGGCATGGATGATAGAGCTGGGGTTCTCTCCGGGACTCCCTGGTCTGAGCCCCTTGTGCTTAGCATGTGAGCCACCCTGCTTGTCTTCTTTATGTGTCAATTTGATGAAAGTGGGAGAGGGAGCCTTACTAATGGCATATCTTTTGTGTTTCTAATTTACCCCTGAAAAGAAAAGAATCACACTTGCACGATCCATTACTCCAGTGACCTAACAGTCATGTATCCATTGATTAAACAAGTGTTTATTGTCCTCCATAGCCAGGCTCTGGGAATACAGCAGTGAATAACATAGATGAAGTTCCTGCTCTCTGTGGAACTCACATTCTATCCAAGAGACGAATTTCAAGAATGGATTTCAGGAGAAGTCATTCTTGTCTACTATAACTTAGAAAATATCCACAGCCCTTGCTTCCTATCACTACATCCATTCTCACTCTGGCTCTGTGAGTTGTATAATAGCGATCTTCTGCTGAGTACCTGCTATGTGTCAGAAAACCCGATGGGTACTATATGTATGTTATCTCACTTGAATGTCACAATGACCTCCATGCCTTTTAAAACAGGATAAAGGCACAGTGGGGCACCTGGGTGGCTCAGTTGGTTAAGTGTCTGACTCTCAGATTGAGCTTCGGTCATGATCAAGACCCATGTCAGGCTCTATGCTCAGCTTGGAGTCTGATTGGGATTCTCTTTCTCCCTCTCCCTCAACTCCTCCCCCTGCTCTCTCTCTTTCTCTCAAATAAAGAAATAAAATCTTTAAAAAAAAACCCTAAGGCATAGAGAGGTTGGGTATTCATCTAAGGTCACACAGCACAATGGGCGATGTGACTGGAATTTAGATCAGGTTTTGTCGACCTAGAGACCGTGCCTCCTCTGTTACAGGTGGTGCCTTCATCCAGGCACCAGTGTGGTTCTACTTCTCGATAGCTTGATAGCTTTGGCTCAATAGATTTTCTTCATGGGACTTCAATTTTCCCTTCTATAGAATGGTGGAATTGGACAAGGTAATATTCAGGTGTCTCTAAGTCACATGTTCTCTGATGGTATCACTGACAGGGACAAAGGCAGGAGTTTCAAGGGATGCCTGAAGTTCCTGTTTGGCTGGAGAAGTGGATAAACCTGATTCTTTTCATGACAACTAGGGCCACTCACTCCCAGAAAGTGAAGGAAATTACAACCCCTCCATGAAGAGGCCCACCAAGTACATGGAGGGGGTTTCTAATTTCTCTTAAGATAAGCCTACTTTTGGAATTCAAAGTCAACTACCTGGCAACTCAGGTGAAGGCAGAATAGCCCAAATCTGGGTAACCAAGAAGCTTGCTTTGTTGCCAATGACTCCTGAATCCTCCTCAAATTATTCAACTTTTGGCTTTGTTGTGATCTAACATGAATCATGCATCCAATTAGAACTAATTAAGAAGGTGACTCCTTTTTTGAAGAACTAATCCTGCAAAGGAGCAAAATCAAGCTGCTTCTACTCTTCAGCAGCCTTAAAGATGCCTTGGATAATGAGGGGGGAGAGTAGAAATTTTCCATCCATTTGCAGACTTGAGGAAGTTTGCATTAAGATGTTTTATTGATTTCATCAAAGCTGTTTTTGTTTTCCTTAAAAGCAGTATTATGGTATCCTAAAAAAGGCTCCGATTTTGACGTGCATCAGGTCTGAAACTGAATCCTGGCTCTGTCATCACCATCTGTTTGTGACAGTACCAGTTAAGGTGACACTAGCTGCTCTGACTTCTCTGCCATAGGTCGACTGCAGAAATGGCTCAATTCTCAACCTCTCACAATGTGGTCCTGCTGGTCCTCCCATCAAGAGATGACTATCTTCTCACCCCGTGAGTATGGCCGGCCTCATGACTTGCTATGGTCAATAGAATATGGCAAAAATGATGTTGGGCAATCCTAATCCTGGTCATCAAGAAGCCACACAGGTTTTTGCTGGGTCTTTTGGACCTCTGTCACCACCATGAGTATCAGCCTGGACTACCTTGCTGAAGTAAGAACAACCACCCAGAATAAAGTGGAATTATCCCCATCCAATCCATTCTAGACCATCTAGACCACTGCTGACCTGGCAACTGAACTCAGGTGAATGAAAGAGCCCAGCTGAGACTAAATAAGGCTATCCAGATAAGCAAAAATGCACACATGACCTATTAATTGGTGAGACAATAGATGGTTATTGTTTCAAGCCACTGTCTTAGCAAGTTTGGGCTGTTACAACAAGATGCCACAGATGATGTACGTTATAAATAATACAAATTTATTTCTCATGGCTTTGGAGGCTGGGAAGTCTGAGATCAGGGTACCAGGATGTACCTGGTGATAACCTCTTGCTGGTTTTCAGGTGACTTTGCTGTGTCCTCACATGTCAGAGAGCAGAGAGAGAGAGAGAGAGCTCCCTGATGTGCCATCATGAGGTTTCCACTCCCTCCCCATGACCTAACACCATCCTACTGAATTTTGGAGGGATACAACTTATTCCATAGCAGTCACTAAGTGTGGGACTGGTTTGTTTCATGCAACTGATACACACGAGAAATAAACTCCTGAAGTTCAGTGATTTGACCACATGTGAACACTTATTCCTTGCTTACATGGAAAAACTGGTAGAACTCCCTCTAGTCAGAAGCCCAAGTTGAAGACTTTCAAGTCTTCCCTGAGTATTTAGTTCAGAAGACTGGTGTGAGAGACTGAGTGGAGAGGGCATGGGAATTGTTTACAGGCAGCATGTGTACATGCTTTGCTCACTTTTTTTTTTAACACAATCATATTCCTGGTTTTTTCAATACCTGTATGAAGTTGGCACTGTATCCATTTTATAGACAATGAGACTGAGGCAAACGGAGCTTAAAATAACTAGCTGAGGGTTATATAGCCACCGGTTGGACCACCCATCTACCTGATTCCAAAGACTTATATCACAATACCTCTTGAAACATAGCTTGACTAGGTTTTGGTCCCCATCCTAAATATCTCAAAGAAAGAAGGGAGGAAGGCATTGATATCTTCTTGCCTACCTCCTCCCCTCCTCCATAACAAGTAAGGTAGAGTCACCTGACTTGTGTTCACAGGACCAGAGAACGTTGAATCTGTAATGCCTTCTACAGATGGTATATGGGAAGATGCTATTATTAACTATTACTCATTCCAAATGAAGGCACTGAGGTGAACTCCATGACTACCTGGGCTTCTAGTCAGACAGACTGCCAGACTACCCCAAGACATCCTAGAGCCATAGCCTCCAATCCAAGCACAGGCAGTTGGGTCTTCTTCCCTTGGGCAGGAAAAGTGATATTGGTGCATGGACCATGAAGCTGACTTGGGATATGGCCAGGATTCAACCCCAGGTGTGCTGGACCCCAAGCCTCTGCTCTTTCATTCCATTGCACTGGACTTGGACAAGTCTATCCCTTGAGAACTGGGATGTAGACCTGATCAAAGGGTGGGTGGCAGGAAAGACTGAGAATTGGGGAAAAGCAATCTTCCCCAATTGGAAATTGGGGAAATTAGGGAAAGCCCCAAGATTCATCATGGATTTTCAGAATGATGGTGGGAATGATGTGTAAATGTCCTGGGAGCTGGAGGAACCTGGGTCACCTTGGTGACATAGAGGGACTGGGTGACTAGTCACAAAAATCTTAACTCCCAGATATTTAATGAACTCAAGTGTGCAGCCAGGACAGGACAGATAGCCCTTTGTGGTTTTTCTTCTCCTTTTTTCCTATTTCCCTTCTTCCTGCACCTTCTACTCAGAGAATAGTCACTTCTGCCACAGTCAGTTGGGACTGAAGATGAGAAGGGGAGGAATAAACTAGAAAGTCTTTCTGCACGTTGTCCTAAATTTAGTCTCATCTGTGGCTCATACTGTTCAGTAAGAACTCTCCTGCAGTGTCCCTGGGAGGGAGGAAGTTTGTAGGCACTTTGCTCCACCATGCAGGTCCAGGTGTTAGCAAGGTGTTGTTCAGAGTTAGGGCAGCTTTATAATTTTTTCATCCAAACAGGAACAGAACGTTTTTTGTAAAGGTTTTATTTATTTATTTGACAGAGAGAAAGACACAGTGAGAGAGGGAACACAAGCAGGGGGAGTGGGAGAGGGAGAAGCAGGCTTTGTGTTGAGCAGGGAGCCCAACATGGGGCTCAATCCCAGGACCCTGGGATCATGACCTAAGTCAAAGGCAGACGCTTAATGTCTGAGCCACCCAGGTGCCCCCAGGAACAGAACTTTTTGAAAACAAAAGAGGGTACTATCATCACGAATTGTAGTAGGACACAGGTATAAACTGGGACTGTGCTGAGCAAAGAGGGACATATGATCACCCCCTTCCGTGGGCCCAGAATTGAGACACCTTGTTGAGAAGTTGGAATATACCAACAATGAGCTCTACTGGGATGGACTAGAAAAGTTCAGGATTTGAAGTCAGTCCTAATGTCTGTTCTGGTTCTTAGCAAATCACATACCCCTAAGAACCTTGGTTTCTTCATCTGCAAATGGGTTTGTGATAATTTCCACATTAAGGCCATTGTCAAGGTGAAGAGAAAGGAGCTGAAAAAGTATTTTGTAAATGTAGTTACTCTTCAAATATTCTGTCCCATTCGAAGTCCTCTCTGATAAATTTATTGCTTTTTTTTACTTTCTTAATTCCTTTAGCATTTTCCCACTGGACTACCAGTTAGGAACTTGAATATATACTGACCTATACTTTTCCATGGTTACCTTGCATTATTTTTGGCTTCAGTAATAACCTTATTAATGTGGTATCTCATTTCTGGAGTTTAGACAGTATTTTAAGCCCTAGTATTCTTTATTTTGTTTTATTTATTTATCTGAGAAAGCAAATGAGAGAGAGAGAGAGAGAGTGCTAGAGAGTGAGCACTTGTGAGTGGGGAGAGAGGCAGAGACAAAGAGGGTGAGGGAAAAGAAGAAATCCCAAGCAGACTCTGTGCTGAGTGCAGAGCATGGAACCTGATGTGGTTTTTGATCCCATGATCATGACCTGAGGCAAAACCAAGAATTAGAGGCTTAACTGACTGAGCCACCCAGGTGCCCTATTAAACCCTATTATTCTGATTAACAGTGCCTACTGTTTAATAGTGGTATGACTTCCAAAAATTTACTTAATCTCTCTGTTACACAGTTTCTTCCCACTGGGGAAAACAATAATATGTACCTCTAGGGTTAAAGGGAAGAGTAGATGAATTAATGCTTGTAATGTACTAATCATAGTGTCTGCCACGGGATTCACATTTAAGACATTCCAGCTTTGGTCTTTGTTGTGAAAACAGGATATTCTTGTCTGGAAGATGTTTATCCCATGGCTTCCAGGATGCCCCTAGCAAGCCGCCATGTAGCTACAGTTTGAGAATGGACCGTTCTACATCATGCCCATGCACTATGTAATCTCCTATTAATTTGGTTTCACTCCAGGGAGGAGGTCATTTCTTACCAGGAAATATGCCACTGGAATCCACTTGCGACTGCAAAGTCTACTGCTTCCTCACAAGACTGCCATAGCTGTGAGGCACCAAGTTTTTAAGTAAGAAAAGCCGAGTGATGAAGGACATGACATTGGAGGACCAAGTGGGACCTCACAGGAGTGATTTGGTCACCAGCAATTGCGGGGGTGGGGGGAGCGTTGTGATTATTTGGATGCCAAGTCTCAGCAGGAGGAACCCATTTGGTTGGTTAATTACCCTTGAAAGAGTAAGAAGGTCAGAGGAGGGCATGGCTGACAAAGTCCATTGAGCCTGCTGGATGGAGGCCAAATCAATCCACATTGACCTCCTCTTTCTCCTCTGGAGGTGTCAGTGACTGCTTAGGAGGTGGGCACCAAGCAAACATTCTGATGCCTTGGAGAGGCCAGTCTGTGGGGAAGGGCTCTGAGCTTGAAACCAGGAGATCCTGGGGTTCTAATCCTTTCTTTTCTATTCCCTTAGTGCATGACTTTAAACAGGTCTTCTCTTCACCCTAACCTTTTCCCTTAAAAAGGGCTGCTCATCCCAAATGATGCTGGGGGGCCTTCCTGCTCCAACACCCTTTGGCTGTTAATTTTGGGAAAGCTGAAGCAGCTCATTATCAACCATATAGGTTTGGGATTCATCTCTTAGAAATCTGCCAAGAAATAAGTTTGACCATATGTTGAAAATTATTGAAGCTGGATGATGAGTACATGGGGGTGCATAATGCTATTTGATTTATTTTTTACATATGTTTGAAATTTTCTATAATAGGGAAAGTTTTAAGAATCTGTAAAATCCTTTTAAAGTTAATGGCAAAATGATCAGATTTAATTCATTTGTGGAAGACCAGAATTTCTCATGCATCGGGTTGGGTAGAATGCGGTATAATTTAAGGAAAGCCCACTTGATAAAAAGTCTCTTTACCACCCACTCTCATGTTGCCTGGGAGGCTTCCAACATCAAACCCTTTAAGAGAGAGTGTAGTTTTGTGGAAAAGAACTTATTTTGGTCTTGTTTGGCCTGGATTTGAATCCCGAACTTCAGTTTTTAAAATCTGTAAAATGGTAATAATTGTACTGACTTAGTGGACATCTGGTGAGGACCAGGAGCAATGTACAAAGCACTAAAGTAGCTCTTGTTGTGACATCTTGGTTTCCAGTACAGTCTTTAAAATACAACCATTGCAGGGTAAGTCTCAGGCTTATAAATGAACCTAAACAAATGCATTCATAAGCCCATAAGATGGCATATCTTAGTGAGATTGGGGTCCCTGATTTCTAATGGTGGGAGGGTAAGGAAAACCAAGAAGAGGCTAGAGAGACAGCCAGTGGGTGAGGGAGTAGGGGGGCTTCAGAGACATTTCTCAGCCCTGCCA